CCCAGGCTGGAGTGCAGTGGTGTGATCTCGGCTCACTGCAACCTCTGTCTCCCTGGTTCAAACAATTCTCCTGCCTCAGCCTCCCGAGTAGCTGGGATTACAGGTGTGCAGCACCACGCCTGGCTAATTTTTGTATTTTTAGCAGAGATGGGGTTTCATCATGTTGGTCAGGCTGGTTTCAAACTGCGGTCCTCTTGGTACACCTGCCTCAGCCTCCCAAAGTGCTGGGATTACAGGCGTGAGCCACCACTTTTGAACTCCTTTACTTCTAAACTCCCCTCATTCCCATTATTTTAGGTCATCGGCTTTCTCCCTCTCCCCTTCTAGCGGACCTGTTCTATACATGTGGGATGGAGATTACGTTCTCACACTCTGCACTGCTTCCTAGGATACCTCAAACCTCCTGGCTAATTTTTTTAAATTTACATATGTTAATTTCACTCTTCTGCCATAACATCCTATGGGTTTTTTTAAAAATGCAAATTTACATGTGTCCATGGTTACACTGTCACACAGGGTAGTTCCATTGCCCCCAGAAATTCCTTTGTGCTTCACCTATTCACCCCCTCCCCCACCTCCACCCCGTGGCCACCGTGGATCTTTTTCCTGCCAATATAGTCTTACCTTTCCCAGAATGTCATATGAGAATTATAAAAGCATGCAGCCTTTTCAGACGGGCTTCTTGCACTTAGCAATATGCATTTAGGGCTCCCGCACGTCTTTAACAGCTTGACAGCTCATTTCTTGCTGCTGTGGAGTGGGATTCCATTGCATGGAGGAGCACAGCCTGTGTATCATTCTCCTCCTGTTGAAGGGCACCTTGCTTGTTTCTGGATGAACCACGGCGTGTTTACCCTTCCCCTGCTGAAGGGCACCTACTTTGTCAGTGGTGTGAGGGATGTGTGAGGAGAATTTCCATAAACTTCTTGTGCAGGGTTTTGTGTGGACATAAGTTTTTTAATCCATTGGCTAAATACCTAGGAGCACAGCTGCTCTGTCACATGGTAAAGCTATATCTAGCTTTCTTCTTCCTCTTTTTCTTTTTTCTTTTTTTTCTTTTTTTGAAACAGAGTCCTGCTCTGTCACCAAGTTGGAATGCAGTGGCCCAATCTCCGTTCACTGCAATCTCCACCACCCGGGTTCAAGCGATTCCCCTGCCTCAGCCTCCCGAATAGCTGGGACTACAGGTATGCACCACCATGCCTGGCTAATTTTTTGTATTTTAGTAGAGACTGGGTTTCACCATGTTGACCAGGATGGTCTTGATCTCCTGACCTTGTGATCCACCCGCCTCAGCCTCCCAAAGTGCTGGGATTACAGGCGTGAGCCACTGCACCCAGCCAGCTATATCTAGCTTTCTAAGGGACTGCCATGCTGTCTTCCACAGTACCTGCACCATTTTGCATTCCCACCAGCAATGAATGAGAGTTTCTGTCACTCCACTTCCTTGCCAGCACCTGGTTTTTAGATTTTTGGGTGTTAGCTATTCTAATGGGTGGGTAGTGGCATCTCCTTGTTTTGATTGCAATTCCCTGATGACAAATGAGGCTGAGCGTCTTGGCGTTTGCTTATTTCCCATCTGTCTGTCTTCTCTTGTGAGACTCTATTCCGTTCTTTTGTTCATTTTTAAATGTTTTAAATGCCGCTATTTCATTTTTAAATTTAGGTGTTTGTTTCCTTATTGTTGAATTTTAAGAGCTTTTTGCCTATTTTGAGTACAAGTCCTTTATAAGGTACATGTTGTGCAAAGCCTTCATTTTTTAAAAACCATCATCTCTCATGATACTACTGCTGTTCAAATATCCTCAGAAAACACTGCATTGCTTATGAAAAAGGCCATGAGGAGTGGTACGGAGAAAGCAAGAATTCAAATTGTTCTAGATGAGAGAATATCAGCAGATGTACTAGTCTGTTTTCACGCTGCTGATGAAGACATACCCAAGACTGGGAAGAAAAAGAGGTTTAATTGGACTTTCAGTTCCACATGGCTGGGGAGGCCTCAGAATCATGGCAGGAGGAGAAAGGCACTTCTTCCATGGCAGTGGCAAGAGGAAATGAGAAAGGAGCAAAAGTAGAAACCCCTGATAAACCCATCAGATATCATGAGACTTATTCTCTATCATGAGAATAGCACAGGAAAGACGGGCCCCCATGATTCAGTCACCTCCCCCGGTTCCTCCCACAACACGTGGGAATTCTGGGAGATACAATTCAAGCTGAGATTTGGGTGGGGACACAGCCAAACCATATCAGGAGGTTTATAGAGGTGTCCTGTAGTACACATTTTTCTACATGTATTGAAATAGGTTGATTTTAGTCTTGTTTATATCAAACACAGAGATGGAACCTTGAGATAGTTTATAATTCATCTAAAATGGCACTCTCGCCTTTATTTATGATGCTTGTTTTATAAAATATTATATCCCTGGCACTGTCTTTTATGTGTGTTTAGTGTCTACCTTCTCCAAATAGAATGAAGGCTCCCTGAGGACAGGCACTTTGGTTATTGCCACATCCCCATAGGACAGAGCCTGGTACCTAGAAGGCAGTCTATACATAGTAGTTAAATGTTTAACAATGAAAGGTTTAAAATATGTCTATTTTGTTTTGTCCCACAAAGAGGAGGTGACTTCTGATTTATTTAGAGAGTAGTATTGATATCTTTGGACAAAACTCAGCAGTTTACATGATCTCTGCCAGCCTGGGCAACATAGGGAGACTCTGTCTCTACAAAAAAATTTTAAAAATTAGTTGTGTGTGGTGGCATGTGCCTGTAAACCCAGCTACTCAGGAGGCAGAGGCATGAGGATCATTTAAGCCTGGTAGGTCAAGGCTGCAGTGAGCTGATATGGCACCACGGCACTCCAGCCTGGGCAACAGACTAAGACCCTGTCTCAAAAAATTAAATTAATTAAAATGAAATTAAGGCCATCTCTACCAATCACTAAAGATCATGATTCATCAATATTTTATATTTACCTGAAATAACGCTTAACCAACATCAGTGAAAAAACAAATAAAACCAGTAACAGCATTCTTTTCAAATTCATTCTCTCCTAGGGAAAAAGGAAGAAAAATTGTATTTTAAGCAATATAAAAGATGTATTTGCCATCTTCTAACAAGGGTTAATGTATGGGCAGTTGGACATCACCAACCTTAGAGGTTGCTTCTAGAATGTTCAGCTGTCAGGAGACAGCAACTTGAGTCAGGGAAGCCTCTGTCCTCCTTCGAGTGCCTGGGGCTGACTGCTCCTGTGGGCCAGCTGCACACACACTCTGTTTCTCCCCGTGTTCAGATCGAAGTCTGACTTGATTGCATAAAAGAAAAGCAATAAATCTCTCCACTGCAGGGCTGTGAACACAATGAGGCGTTGATGAGGAAGTCATCTTGACCCAGGAGCAGGTATTCCTCCCCCAAAGTTGACTTGCTATTCTTTCTTCCTCACTGAGATAGTAAGATGGATAATTTGTTCCAAGACTATGCCAGTCTAAAAATTCACAAGTGCTCTCAAAGGCAGGTGCTTGTAAACAGGGAATGTTGTCTAAGTTAAAGGCATTAGACTTTAAGGTGGAAGTCTGGGTTCTCAGCAGTGCCTGGGATTTGTTTTACAAGCCCATCAGGAACACACCCCTGGGCTGTGTCCACACAAAGTGCAGGTCTCCAATTCTCCTATTTTCCTTTTTTTTTTTTTTTTTTTTTAAGATGGAGTCTCACTCTGTCCCCCAGGCTGGAGTTCAGTGGCGCGGTCTTGGCTCACTGCAACCCCCACCTCCTGGGTTCAGGCGATTCTCCTGCCTCAGCCTCCTGAGTAGCTGGGATTACAGGTGCACACCACCATGCTCAGCTAATTTTTGTATTTTTAGTAGAGATGGGGTTTCACCATGTTGGCCAGGCAGGTCTGAAACTCCTGACCTCAGGTGATCCGCCCACCTCAGGCTCACAGTGATTTTCATTTTGAACACTCATTTAACAAACATGATGCTTTAGCTCTGCACTGGTAGCCATAAAGTAGCCACTTGCCACGTGTGGTCCCTGAGCACGTGAAATGCAGCCACTGTGAAATGAGGTATGCTGCAAGGTGGGGTCTCAAAGTCAGACACAGCGGGAAAGAAAAGAATTTACCATCTCACTCATAACTTTATATCGTTTACACACCGAAATGGTAACAGTCTGGGTGTTGTCATCTGGAAAGAGTGAGTTAAATGAAAAATAAATTATGAAAATTAATTCACCTGTTTCTTTTTACTGTTTGTAATGTTGCTTCTGGGAAACTGGACACTGAAAATGTGGCTCAGGTTTTATTCCTATGGGACAGTTCTTCATATAATGGCATCCTGGGCAGGCTTCAGTTGGGCCGTTCTTGTGCCTCTGCGATTTGAAACTGACCGCCTTTTAAATTCAAGATCACCAGAAATGTCACGTGGATGGGGTAAGATGGGCCCATGTAGCCAGATTCTCTGCATTGGTGTTCCCTCCTCCGTGACATTGTCCCTGGGCACGCCCCTAGCTGTATGTTGATGAGCTGCCTGTCTGTCAGTATCTTTCTGAGGCCAAGGCTAAGGGATGACCCTGACCCTGATTTTACCACAACCATCCAAACTTTCCTAGATCCGTCTTTAAAAGTCCTTTACCTTGGGTTAGAGTGATGTAAAGAGACAGCCAAAGACGTCTGCTGAGGATGAGTTTCTTCCAAGCATCATATCTTAGGGTCTGTGTCACGCCACGATCCAGCTGCCATCTACGGCTCTCCTAACTCTGGAGTCTTCTGTTGGTGCTGACGTCACCAGGCTCCTTTGATGATGCAAGCGTCACAGTGACACCTCTGCCCACATGTTCTTCCCGTGGCTATGAGGACAGGGCTTTGTCCCATTTGAAAAATTAAAGAATATTTTTAAATGTGCTTTTGGTTTTCATTACCTTTGTGTCCTTACTTCCTAATGACTGATTCTTACTGACGGAGAGATATGTTGAATGACCTGTGTTTATGTTCGTACAGCAGAGGGAGAGTGCAGCCTCCTTCTCCTCCTTCATCCTCTTTGAGCCTTTGTCTGCTCACCTCCAGAGGGTAAATCCCTTCTTACGCTGTCTTAGAATGTTGTGTATGTACTTCTTTTTTCTGATTACAGAAATAGCACATTTTTGTGTTGTGAGTCACACGCTCCCAGCACAACGGAAATAAGGACTGTATGCACTTCCACCGTCTTCCGATTGCTGTCTTCATTCGTGATCATCATGGGAACAGTTATATGCCCCTCACATTAGAAAATAAATAGTTTTTCTTATTGAAAAAGTTGCATAGATACATGTTAGTTTCACATTGCTGACATGACAAATTTAGCAGAGTAACTTAAAACAACACGGATTTATTCTCTGACAATTCTGGAGGCTAGAAGTTCAAACCCGAGGTGTTGGGAGGGCCACGCTCTCTCCAGGGTCTAATGCTGCAGACGTCCTTGGCTCCCTTGGCTTCAGTGCACATGCCTGCAATCTCAGCCTCTGTCACCACCTGGCTTTCTCCACCCTCCCTCGCTCTCTGTCTCTGTGTGTGCATGCATGTGTGTGCGTGTACATGCACGTGTGTGTGTGTGTGTGTGTGTGTTTCCTCCTCTTCTTAGGACATTGTCGTGTTGTATTAAGGGCCACCCTACTGCAGTGGGACCTCATCTTAATTTACACCTTAACTAAATCCTCAAAGACCTGATTCCAAATCAGGTCACATTCACAGGTACCAGGGTTTAGGACTTGGGCCTATGGTTTTAAGGAATGCCATTCAACCCAGCACACTTGGTAAAAAAAAAAAAAAATTAAACATCTGCCAGGTGCAGTGGCTCACACCTGTAATCCCAGCACTTTGAGAGGCAAAGGCGGGTGGATTTTTTGAGCTCAGGAGTTCAAGACTAGACTGGGCAACATGAAGACACCCCCTCTCTACTAAAATAGAAAAATCAGCCAGGTGTGGTAGCACACACCTGTAATCCCAGCTACTCGGGAGGCTGAGGTGGGAGGATCTTGAGGTCAGGAGGCAGAGGTTGCAGTGAGCTGTGATCAAACCACTGCACTCCAGCCTGGGCAACAGAGCAAGGCCCTGTCTCAAAAATAAAAACAAGGCCAGCTGTGGTGGCTCATGCCTGTAATCCCAGAACTTTGGGAGGCCAAGGCAGGTGGATCATGAAGTCAGGAGTTTGAGACCAGCCTGGCCAAGATGGTGAAACCCTGTCTCTAGTAAAAATACAAAAATTAGCTGGGCGTGGTGGTGTGCACCTGTAATCCCAGTTACTTGGGAGGCTGAGGCAATAATCCAAAGAAGGTTAAATATCATTTCATATTTGACAGTGCTTCCCATATGATTTTATTATACCAAATAAGCAGAATTTGT